GTATATATGTATGTGTGTGTATGTGTGCTCACAATTTGATCATTACTTTTTTTATTGTATTTCCTTGTCATTCTGACCTAGACAAACATTATCAACGAAGGATACAATTTACATTGTGCCTTTCAAATCTGATAATTCGCTCAGTACACGTTTTAATATATAAACATCTTATAATCATTGACATATTATGATTACTATTATTATTATTAGCAGTTTTTAGTGGTTGGGCTACTGAGGTAAATACTATGATAAAAATATTTTTGATATGTTCCGTAAATTGTATGTTTCAACATTTCATTCGAGAATATTACAGAAATTATTCATATAATGTTGATATAAATCAGTGACTAGATGATGTGCTTTTATAAAAAGAAAATATATGCTATGAAATATATCACAATATAAAATTTTTAAAGCAAGTTAAAAAGAACTGAACTGAAAAAGAAGCCGATAAACGTGATATAAACTCTTCAATAAATAAAATGGGGCGTCTATTTCAAATACGATGTATCGAGTATAATTATGCTTTAAGTATATATATATATATATATATATATATATATATATATATATATATATATATATATATATATATATATGGGCATACATATTTATATATTCTGTTAGTTCAAATTATTAAATAAAAACCACTACGAAGTTTAAAGATTCTGAAATATTTTTATCCGGACAGTGGATTCGACTGCAGATGTTGTCGCGTGACGATCTATCGATCTATCTATCTATCTATCTATCTATCTATCTAGCTGTCTATCTAACTCTGGTCATTTCTCTCTTTCTCTTTCTCTCTCTCTCTCTCTCTCTATATATATATATATATATATATATCTATGTATCTCACTTTGTTCCTATCTATCTATCTATCTATCTATCTATCTATCTATTTTACTTTGTTAATATCTATCTATCTTACTTTGTTCATAACTTTCTATGTGTGTATGTATGTATGCATGTATCTATCTATCTATCTATCTTACTTTGTTAATATCTATCTATCTATCTATCTATCTATCTATCTATCTATCTTACTCTGTTCATAACTGTCGATGTATCTATCTATCTATCTATCTATCTATCTATCTATCTATCTATCTATCTATCTATCTAGCTGTCTATCTAACTCTGGTCATTTCTCTCTTTCTCTTTCTCTCTCTCTCTCTCTCTATATATATATATATATATATATCTATGTATCTCACTTTGTTCCTATCTATCTATCTATCTATCTATCTATCTATCTATCTATCTATCTATTTTACTTTGTTAATATCTATCTATCTTACTTTGTTCATAACTTTCTATGTGTGTATGTATGTATGCATGTATCTATCTATCTATCTATCTTACTTTTGTTAATATCTATCTATCTATCTATCTATCTATCTATCTATCTATCTATCTATCTTACTCTGTTCATAACTGTCGATGTATCTATCTATCTATCTATCTATCTATCTATCTATCTATCTATCTATCTATCTATCTTACTCTGTTCATAACTGTCGATGTATCTATCTATCTATCTATCTATCTATCTATCTAACTTTGGTCATCTCTCTCTCTCTCTCTCTCTATCTATCTATCTATCTAACTCACTTTGTTCCTATCTATCTATCTATCTATCTATCTATCTATCTATCTTTGTTCATAACTGTCTATGTATGTATGTATGTATGTATGTATGTATGTATGTATCTATCTATCTATCTATCTATCTATCTATCTATCTATCTATCTATCTTACTTCGTTCTTATCTATCTATCTATCTATCTATCTATCTATCTATCTATCTATCTATCTATCTATCGTGTCTGTTCATAATTCCCACAGCTTACAATAATCTTATTCTTTTTTCTTCTTATAAGCATAAAACCCTAACCCTTGCCCTGATTATCGACTCACCAGAACTAGCAGGACCCGCACTGATCGAACTGTGCCATTAGTTTCATGCTGCTTAGTGCCGTATCGATTGCATGATAAAACCACATTGCCCCTTTTGTACCGAGGTGCTCAATGTGCACCTGGCGCCACTTTACTGTCTTGTCACGCGAGACTTTCGAGCTCTTGTTATTTTTTGTCAAACTTTCTCATCTCACTAATACTGACAAATAATTTCGCTGCAGGATCACCATCGCATGCATATTTATTAAACTTAGTCGAGTTTGTCACAAGGCCTACAAAAGTTTCAAAAAACCCTTAAAAACCAAAGTTAATTCTTGCTGTTGTCATGTGGGTAGTTAATGTATCTCACGAGATAAAAAAGACTAACAAATATTGTATTCTATTGAGTCTAGTATTCGATCAGACACCATAGACTACCAGTATCTGTACTAAGCCTAACGCTATAATAATGCAATATTACATGAGAATAATAAATATATGATAGACGAATATTTTCCTCAGACAACCTAAACTCCCAGAACTTGTACCTAACCTAACGCCATGCTTTAATAATATTAAATGTAAAATAGGGTCCGTTCACATTCGATATTGAGCTATCTGGTAGTCTAATATTTACACAGACGGCGTAGCATACATGTTTGCTGCATATATATATATATATATATATATATATATATATATATATATATATATATATATATATATACTAGTAATCTTATAAGTATAAGAAATTATACTCGTTCGGAAAACCTTCGGTGTCTTGATTTGCAAATAATCAAACCAATACCAAAGGGGGAAAAAAGTATACAAAAAGAAAGAACCAAGAACATGTACGTTAGCCGAAAATAATCGTCTAGCATGCAAGTTTAAAGCCCAAAGAAAAAAACCCGATACGAGTAAGCAAAATAACTAAATAAAGTGCTCGATACAATGAATAGAGCAGACCTAGTTAGACCTAGAGAGCCAGAGAAACCTACCAAGTTTAGGTTTAACTATATATATATATATATATATATATATATGTGTGTGTGTGTGTGTGTGTGTGTAAAAGTGTATGTATATATATATATATATATATATATATATATATATATGTATATATATGTATATATATAATTATTTATGCGCGGTATTTATTAGAAAGCACTCAATATCAGAGATAGTGCTAACATATTTGGTTGGATTGATGTGAGTTTGTGACCCTGATATATATACTAGTGTAATAGTGTTGAATAAATCTTCTATCCCTCCTCTCCTCACACAATTTGAAGTGTTGCCATCTTCTGCTGATAAAGCAGAATGTTTTGCTCGTAAATTCTCTTCCATTTCTACTATTGTCTCAATATAGCGGTATCTTTGTCCGACTTTGAACTAATTCTCTTTTTTTTGTCATAAGCATATAACTGCGTCCATGGTTTCTACTATCATCTTTAAACTGGATCCGCACAAATTGTTTGATATCCCTGAAACAGTCTTTAATAAATGTGGTCCTGAACTTGCTCCGGTTCTCCTCTAAATCTCTACAATAAATCGCTTGCCGCTTCTTGTTCTCATGCTTGTTGGAAACCTTCTCCTGTAGTTTCACTCTTTAAGAACTCAGGTGAGCCGTCTGATCCTTGTAAGTATAGGCCTATTACTCTTCTACCTCTTTTTAGCAACGTACTAGAACCTCTAATCAACTCTGACTTGGTTAAGCATCTCACCTCGCATAGTTTTCTTTCAGACTAGCAATATGACTTTCGCTCCACCAGGTCAACTGCTGATGTGTTAACAATTATTTCAGAAAGAGTCTATCAAGTTGTAGATAAGAATGGTGAAGCTCGGACTGTTGCGTTGGATATTTTGAAGATATTTGACAGGGTTTTGGCATACTGGTCTGCTTCAAAAGTTGAAAGGTTATGGTTTATTTGAACGAATTTTTTTTATCTAATTCAATCTTTGTTATCAAAACACGAAATAAACGTTTTCTTGAACGACCATCGTTCTATATATTTTAGTATTAATGTAGCTGCTCTTCAGGGATTTATTCGCCTACTTCCGTTGTTCCTAATTCTCTTCAACGAACTCATGATACCATCTTTTCTGAAATTAGTATCTCTGTTGATGACACAACTATTGACACCGGTCTTAATGGTAAGTGTGATCGGTTCGTTAAGGTTAATTTGGCAGCTGACCTAAAAAACACCCTACAATCTGTTGCTAACTGGGGCAAGAAAGAGCTTGTTAATTTTAACGCTCCAAATCGATACTGGTCTCTTTTAAATGCCTGAAAAAATTTTTTTTCTCTTTTATCAATATGGCTGATGCTAACCACTAAAAGAATGACTCATTGCCCTTTCTCGGGCTAAAGTTTTCCATTGACATGAAGTAGATATATTCTATTGAATCAATTACGAGGTCTGCTGCTAGGAAAGTTAGTTCACTGTGTTGTGCCAGACAATTTTTCTCGCTCTAATCTATCTTACACATTTATCAGTCTGCTATTCGTCCATACATTGAATATTGCAGTTACATCTGACCCTAATTTTCCTGCTATGCATCTAGAGATTCTTGATGAAATACAAGGAAGAATCTGTAACATTATCGGTTTTAGTAACTTTCCCATCACTGTAATGGAGCTTGACCGTTCTTTTTCTATAAATATTTTCATTTTTGTTCTAATGAGTTTTCTTCTTAGGAACCTCGACGTTATGAATTTAAGCGCAGTACTAGATTGGCAGCTAGGTCTCATAATTTCATAGTTGAAATTGCTACTTGTAACCGTAAGTTCTCTGATAATAGTTTCTTCTTTCGTACTTCCCACTTGTGGAATTCTCTCCCGGCTTCTTGCGTTCAACTCCTTTGATCTTCAATAATTCAAATGCAATGTAAACCGTCATCTTCTATCTCCTTGAATTCTGTTCACTTATTGTCATCTCTCAGTGTCCTTCCGTGCGTCTTAGTAGTTTTATTGCCTTGCTTGTGGTGAAATGATTAAAAACATTCCAATGAATTTCTTTTATTTCACAATAACACAACAAATACTAAAGTATTTGTTGTGTTATTGTGTCTTATTTTTAGACCAAGTCGCTTTTTTTTTTTCTTTTTTTTTTAAAAAAAGATTTCCTGTATAAACAACGGGGGAATATATTTTAGAACTTGTGTAATATTTTGTCCTTTCTTTTGTTAGCCTTTCATATTTATCTCCTCGTATTTGTTTTTTTTTATTTTTTATTCTTCATCGCGTCCTTTACAAAGCTGCGATGATTTTGTTCTTGTTTCTCTTTTACAATTCCGCCAACAACTAATACAGTCTTTTCGTCTTTTAATTTGGATTCGAAACGAGACTAAAAGAAAGAATTAGTCTCGAATGGAATCAGCAGAAGCCTGGCCGAATCTTCGCTCAGGTTACAAGAACCACATATAATAAGCTGAGAAGCAAGCAGCAGCGCCCCCTATCAACAAATCAATGTTCGCATGGGCACGTAACCATCACCGGCTAACATTCAAAACCAGCCTTAAGCAGCAGAAACGATTGTGTTATTGCAACTGGGCTTGAATGAATTCGCTAAAAGTTTTGACATCATTCTTGAAAAAGAAAATGAATAAAGTTTTGAGTTGCATTATCTTTTCTTTCTTTATTTATTAGGGTTTTCTTTATATTTTTACATTTTATTGTATTCTTCCAATTTAATTTTGTAATTCCTGTATTCGTTCTTTCTTTTGCTACATTTCTCATATTGTCTGACATTTTCTGAATCTCATATTTTCGTCTTTTTCTCTTTCATTTATTCATTTATTTTTCTTTCTCGTTTTACTTTTTCTCTGCCTTCACTTATTTTCCATCTTATCTCACGCCTCTTATATTTTTCTTCTTCGTAATTTTAATTGTTTTCTCTTTCTTTCTTTCTTTCTTTCTTTCTTTCTATTTTGAATACCTTGTTCTTTTCCCTTCTTTCTTTCTTTTATTATATTTTTTCATATTCTTTCACAATTCTTGAATCACACCTTTTCTTTCTTTCTTTTTCATTCATCAATTCATTCATTTTTTTCTATTTTCTTTCCTTATTTTACTTTTTCATTCATTATTTCCTTTTTTCATTTCTTATTTTAAATTTCTCCATTTATTTATTTCCCTTCTGTCTGGATTTATTTTTTTCTTTCTTTTGTTTTCTATTTTTGAAACTTTCTTTCTTTTCCTTCCTTCTTTCTTTCTTTCTTTCTTTCTTTCTTTCTTTCTTTCTTTCTTACATTCTTTCTTTCTTCATGATTAATTAATCCTCTGATTCCCTTTCTATACGCCATATTCTTTAACACTCTCTATTCAACCCTATTTTTCTTTCTTTCGTTCTGTTTTTGATTACCTTCTTCTTTCTTTCTTTCTTTCTTTCTTTCTTTCTTTCTTTCTTTCTTTATGATTTTGAATAACTTCTTTCCTTTCTTCTTTCTTTCTTTTTTTGAATACCTTCTTTCTTCCTTTCTTTCTTTCCTTCTTTCTTTCTTTCTTTCTTTCTTTTTTCTCTTGTCTTATATCCATATTCTTCTTTTCTCTCCTCTGCTTCCCTCTCTATAAACCATATTCTTTAACACTCTCTATTCGACCCTATTCTTTCTTTCTTTCTTTCTTTCTTTCTTTCTTTCTTTCTTTCTTTCTTTCTTTCTTTCTTTCTTTCTTTTTTTGAATACCTTTTTTCTTTCTTTCTTTTTTTGAATACCTTCTTTCTTTCTTTCTTTTTTTCTTCTCCCTCTCTTATATCCATATTCTTCTTTCCTTTCCTCTGCTTCCCTCTCTATAAACCATATTCTTTAACACTCTCTATTTGACGGTATTCTTCAAGTTCTTAAATCTCGCCATATTTCGTCTCCCTCATCTCCGCAGTTCTTTTCCTCCCATCTTTCCTTTCCTCCCATCTTTCCTTTTCTTTCTTTCTTTCTTTCTTTCTTTCTTTCTTTCTTTCTTTCTTTCTTTTTTTTCTAATTAAACTCCACCCTCAATTTACCTTGACTTTCTACAAATCATTTTATTTCTCACCTGGCCTGTGTTCTCTCTGATTTGATCCCTTCATAAACGCCCTCCCTCTACCAACTCTTTTCTTGGTCAAAAGCGTCAGTTTTCGTCTCCTATTCCTCCCCTTCTTCCTTTTCAGCTTTCAACCTCTACCCCTCCACATCTCAGTTTTAGAATCGCTCTTTCCAAAGAAACGCCTAAAATCGATGTTAGCAATTAATCTAATTACTGGGAACGTCAGCGGCCCCACTGTTGGCAACTATTGGTCAGACATTGTTGCATCGTTCTTGTTCGAAGGTAGACGCTAATTCTGTTAGCGTCTTTTTAAATTGCAACTCTTTGCAGCTTCCATCATGTCATTCTCCATCCCGACCGTAATAAGCACATGCCTCGATTTTTTCTAGGAAGTTGGCGTCCAGTAGTTTTTCTAGCGCGTTAAATGAGATCTATCTATTTATCTGTCTTTCTCTCTATCTCTCTATCGATCTATCTATCTATCTCAACCTGTTCATATCTATCTATCTATCTATCTATCTATCTATCTATCTATCTATTTCAGTCTGTTCACCTCACTCTCTCTCTCTGTCTCTAGTTCTCCCATTCTCTCTGTCTGTCTGTCTCTCTCTCTCTCTCTCTATATATATATATATATGTGTATATATATATGTGTGTGTATATATTAAAAATACTCATATTTCACGACATTGCTTGCCCTCAATATAGGATATTATGTTTATTTTTTAATATATTAAATAGCTCTGTAGTAATTTATACTTGAGCACTATTTTTCATACACTATATATATGTGTGTGTGCGTGCGTGTGTGTGTGTGTGAGTGTACATTTGTGTACGAACGCTTTCTCGTTCATTTGCATATATTTAGATTTATCCATTTGATTATATATATATATATATATATATATATATAAATCCATTACTATCTTTAGAAAAATGAATTTATTTACGTTTGGATGCGAAACTGTTCAGATATGAATTATTTCAGGAGATTTATGACGAGAGAAGTTTTGCTTAAAAGCACAATTCGGCCTTGCCTGATTGACTGGTGAGAACAAGCAGGCGCAGAGAAACGCTCTCGTTGAGTTGGACATCATCCATTCTGATATCAGGCATAAGGCCAACAATTCAGCATATCTTATATCTTGCAATGTCAGCGCATAAATTTAAAGTCTATAAAGACGCCACATTGCATCCCTTAGGTCAATCCCTCCCTCTGAGTAAGAACAGCCAATAAGAAAAACCGGTCACTATGATAGGGCGCTGCCAAGCCAAAGTGTTTTCCTTCTTCTAGGGAAGTTTCTCTATAGTGGGGAAATGAGAGCAGTTTCGTTTTGGAGGCATTAGAATTTACAAGCCATTTCTTGCCCCAGGTAAAGTAATATGAAATAGGATTGGAATAAATAGCAACATACCTTTTTGAATTTATAATCTTTTAAATTATTGAAGGGTTATCATCATTCGAAGCTTTTTTAAAAGTCACTTTTCTTGTCAACACAATCTTTATAACTAGGTGGTAATCTTGGTTCAACTTTTTATTGCAAGACATAACAGAATATTCAATATTTTATTACAAGATAATGCCTAAAGATTAAACAGTGAACATCCCTAGGAAATTAAATAAGTGTTAAGGAGGAAAAGGAATAGTGATTTTCCAAGCGTAGCTTAGATGTGGCACAAAGCCGAAATTAGGTTGGCACCGAGAGAGGATCGAACTCTCTACTCAGTCGCAACTGTTTTAGCGAGCCAAGCTTGCTAACCATTACACCACCTCGAGGTGCCCAATTTCCCAAGCATAGCTTAGTTGTGGCACAAGGCCGAAAGTAAGCGGGGCACCCAGTGTGTATTGAACTCACTATTTCGTCGTAATTGTTCTAGCGAGACAATCTTGCTAATCATTACATCTCCTCCAGGTGCCCTATTGATTTTTTAAACGTGGCTTAGATACGGCACATGGCCGAAAGTATGGGGCACCCGGTGAGGATCAAACTCACTATTCAGTTGCAATTGTTTTGCTAACCATTACACCACGACTAGGCGCCTAAGGGAGAAAAGGAATAATAATAATAATAATAATAATAATGATAATAATAATAATAATAAAAACAGATTTCAAATACTAATTGGAAGCCATAAAATATTTTCAGAGTAGGCTCTAGGTAGATTCAAACCTGAAATAAATGAAGTAGAATTCATTAACATTTAGTTAGACTAGATCTCCCCCCAACGCATCTAGTTGTAACCCCCCCTCTCCCAGGCATTATGACGAAGATTTATGGTCTTCGGAAAGTTCCCAAATTGCGAAGACGTATTTTTGATTTGTTTATACACAATACTAACTTTCCGATATATTATTTTACATTACTAAAATTCAGGCTAAAGATCGACCTGATGGCATTCTAAGAAGGACCATCATCTGTTACTGAAAAAAGAAATTTATACAAATATTTAAACAATAAATCAACGTCAGGGACGCACAATTTCCCTTAACGCGATGGACGCCGCCGAGAACAGGCCTAAGAGAAGAAAACGAAGACTGGAAGACAAGAAGTCCGTTCATAGTTTTCCGTTTCGCTGCTATTACTTCTGCCACTAGCGAACACACAGACACAAACCCAAGTAGACATGAATAGAGTCTGAGAATCAAAGTCTTAACATCTCTACGAATTACTGCTATAAAGAAAAAAAGAGTCGGCAACTTGGCTACATAGAATGATTAATAATTCTTTATCCCTTAATGTACTTTTAAATTCTTCCATTTGTTTTCCTTAAATCATTTGTTAGTTTTGGGGTTTGTTCTGCAAAATTGAATTTCAGCAATGGCATGTGAATTCTCAACAGGGGTCACAATAGCTGAGCGAAATCCCCGAAAAAATCTTGTTACCCACAAGCAATGGCTGTGAAGATCAATAATACACTGAACAGATATAGGCGCCCGTGGAAAATAATCTAGAGATGTATTTCCTTAAAAAGAGCCTTGTCTTCTGTGAAGTCCTTCGTGACCGAGCGATAAAGCATGCCGAATCATATATATATATATATATATATATATATATATATAATTATGTGTGTGTGTGTGTGTATTTAGGCAGCATTTTTTCATTAATGTATGTATCATTAAATAATATTGACAAATTTTGTCTATTTATTTTAATCAAATTCCTTTCATATCATGAAGAATTTTTAGTTTTTGTTTATTGTTCATGTTTAAGTATAGTTGTGTTTTCAACAAGGATTTTACGGAATTGTGTACGCGGCCAAGCATGTTGTTTTAAATGCCTAAAAATGTTAGAAGTATCCCCCCTCGTTAGCTTTTTTCAAAAAAACAACTTAGTTTACAAATTCAAGTGCCCTCTATGAAATAATATATAATAATAATAACATAATTTTAAGGTATGCTATATTTATGGGTTAAAATGCTTAATATCAGAGATAGAACGTATGTAAATATAAAAGTGGGCAAGTCTATCGTGTTTAGCATGAAATAGACTGTTGCCTTTGGGTGTTGAGTTCAATGTTCATTTATATATATATATATATATATATATATATATATATATATATATATATATATATATATATAGATAGATAGATAGATAGATAGGGTGATTGAAATGTAACTCCCCATTTTAAAATACGTATAATTTATTTATTAACTATAATTTTTACCAGAAATGGATAAGAGAGGAAAGGGTTTGGCATAATGTTTTATTTAAAATTCGATATGGACTCCAGATTTCGCTACCAGCTTCTCGAGCCGCCCAGGAATTGCGTCAACTGATTTCGTCAGGAACTCTTGTGGTATGGATGCCATAACTTCTTGCATCCCCCTTCAAATTCTTCTAAAAACTTGGTTTGATAGAGAAGGCTTGCTCCCTTAGCCAACTTCAAAGAAAAAAGTCAGAGGGTCTTAAGTCAGGATTCGTAGCTGCTCGCTTATACATGAAATAGGGAGTTGCTTTTAATCACCCTATATATATATATATATATATATATATATATATATATATATATATATATATATATATGTAATGAATTTGTATATACCTGGGTTTCCCCTCACAGTAATATGATTGGCTGGTATCAGCCATAAATACAGACTGATATGGAGGTACAGATGACGCCTATTGCCTACCACTACGACGAGGACCAGTCCATTACGGTTACCTGCTAGATTGTCCTACTCGGTTACAGTAGACCAAAACCACATTGCTACTTCGAACAAATATATCCCTTTCCGGGACATATCAATATATATATATATATATATATATATATATAATTTAATACAATGACACACACACATAGTCACACATATACAGTGAATATACACAAACGCGTGCACCCACACAAACGTATATATATATATATATATATATATATATATATATATATATATATATATATACGCTAAATTTACTCACGCATACAATAAACGCGCTTATATGTAAAATGGTTATATACACAAATAAATATAGAGAATGTACATACAGTTCCATTTATAAAGAGAAAATGCATAAATACACACACATATAATGAAAACATGAATAATCAAATAATTATATTCAGAGTAAAAATATATATATATATATATATATATATATATATATATATATATATATATATATATATATATATATATATAGACGCTTATGTATAGACGTTTAATTTAATATTTTGTTTGTAAAGTCTTATCCTTCTGGCAGTCCAAAGAAAGATATAAATAACGTCGGAAAATAAACCTGGCAGAAATCAATATTTAATTAATTTTTCAAAGATTGTAGCAAACGTCTATTTCGATGTCAATTCAATTCACAATATTCAGAAAGTGATGAGATAAACGTTGAAAATATTTCCAAAATCAAACACATCAACATTAACTAAACCTAACTTAATCTGCATAAGGGTAACACTAAAAAAAAAGTTACCTTTTGGGTGGATGTTGGCATACACAAGCACAAACTCCACCAATGTTTGTGTATAGACTCAAGCATAGATGTGATTGATCTTTGCGAATTGAGCCAAGCATGAACTTGACCGATCTTTGCATATTGACTCAAGTGTAAATCTGATCGGTCTTCGTATAGACTCAAACATTTTCCCTATCAATTTTTGCGTACACACTCAAGCATAAACCCGATCAATCTTCGCATATAGACTCAAGCATAGATCCCTTTGCGCATGGATTCCAGCATAAATCCTAATAAAGTTTTGCGTACAGGCTCAAGCATAAACCCGATCAAACTTGGGCATATAGGCTCCAGTACAGACCCGATAAGTCTGCGTATAGACTCATGCATAAACCCTATCAAGCTTTGTGTATTCACCTAAGCATAAACCAGATGAATATTTGCATATAGACAGAAGCATAGATCCCTTTAGGTATGGACTCAAGCATAAACCCTATCAATCTTTACGTGTAGAATCAAGCATGAACCCGATCAATAATTAACTGGACACCCTAATATAAACCCTAATCACATTTGCATATAGAATTAAACATACATCAAACCAATGTTTGCCTATAGAGAAAAGCATAATAATAAAAAATGGCATTAAATAAGTTAAATAGGGTTA